ATATATATATATATATATATTATATATACACATACATAATATGCATTAGAATACAGTACACTATTCATAACATTGCCATTAAATACCTTTTAAATTATGCAGTTATTATAACAACACTGGGCTTTGACTGTTTTCTATTAATCTAAATTAAGAGGCCAATATATATCAAATTAAGACAAAATTGTTTATTAATTAACCATAGTTTAAAGCCTTTGTCTTCAGGCACAGGTAACAGTAAACATGCTTTAATTGTATTTCTTAAGGGTTATACATCATAATTGGGTTCTTCTTAACATTGCTGTTCATGGACCATCTGACAGTGACAAGTCAATCCTTGCTTATACAAGATACATCTGCATTTTAAAGCTCATCATACATTTTGTAGAGTTAAGCTACCATCTATGTTTATATTTTTAAGGGGTATTTATTTACATAAAATAAATAATAAGAAAATTTAAATTATTCGATACAATGTGGATGTTTTTTCTTAAAATTTACACTGATGATTCATTTCAGATTCTGTGACTTAAGGGGGGAATACTTTGCTGCAGTAGTTTAATCAGATTTTACCAAATGCTAAATATGAAAGTTTAAACAAGGTTTGACATTAACAAGGTTAAAAAGTGATAGTCATAACAATAGTCTAGTATTTCTAGTTACTGCTATGCTCGTTTTCTGGTAGACTAGGTTGTACGCAGTTGCTCAAAATGTCTGTTTCCACCTTTTAACAAACCTTTTGAAGCTTCAAAGGAGTTTATAGTTGTTCACTTTAATATTTTCAAATCTAAGACTAAATATTGAATGTGAAATGGAATTACTATTCCAGCAACATTCTCATATATTGCATCATCTGTCCGGTTGGTCAAAATAATTTCCAGACATTTTTTTATACATGAAGTTCACATTATTTTAAAGCCTATTTTCATAACTAAATGTATTATATAATTATATACATTATTATACTTCTTTTTTTAAGGTACTTCAGTTTCTCATAAAATATAAAAATTACCTCTAAGGAGTCCAAGCTAAAAGTGCCTAGTGTATTGAGCATTCCAGCGAGCCATAGCATGTGAATTACTAGTATATTTCAGTTGATGTATCCAGTCGCTGTCGTTATGGCAAGTGTCTGAGTGACAGTCACAAAGTGTGCAGCTTTTTGTTTATATTTATTAGACGTTTGCCAATTCCTTGTATACAACTTCATGTTCTTTCACAGTTTCATGCAGACTTGGGATGTATGGAAAATGTTGTTTACATCACATTGCTCTACATGGTCTAGAGGGCCTTTTATACTGGGGCAGAGCGATGTGTTTACATATGACCCAGGCTTGCATGATAATGTGTTCATAACACTTTCTTAAATTAGACTGGGTCATATTTCATAATTGCATTTCTTGCTTTTAAAGCTATGCCTGATTTGTGATAATATAAAATAAGAGAGATGTTAACTCATTAGAATATTCAGGTGGGAAATAAGTGATGCAGTTTCCCCCCTTGAGGAAATATACTATACATCTAGTCAGGGCAGAATGGCAGTGGGAGGCTAGGAAGGCTGGGTCCACAATCATGGTTAGGGATTTTTGGTGCTCAGCCACTATAATTTCTGTATTTTCAGTAAATACCTGCTCCAAGCTTGCACACTCAGAATTACACAGGTTATCAAATACTGAAAATAAACACCACAAATGTTCAAGGATTGTGCTGTTTTAGACACTAATGAACTTTAACAGTACTTGAACATGCCTGATGCAAGACCTTTGGTTAGGTAACTGAGGAAGCAATGGAGACAAGAGATTATATCTGTGATGTGTTTGGGGGCAGACTACCGGCATGTGAGACTGACAATCCATGTATTAATGTTACATGGGTCAATTTACTAGAATAAAGTAATTTCAAAATATTTTTTACCTTTGCCCAAGGAGTCTACAAATAAACACCAGCTGGCTACAGTCTAGAAAACTGGGGCTACACTGTACTATCCCTTGTCTTGTACTGACAAATATCCCATGTAAGGCATTCATTCCAGGTACAGTGTGGCCTGCATTCTTTGACTTGGTGAATATTATATAAATGAAGAAAATGGGCCACGCTGGTTAGGTCCTACAAAGCACAAGCCAAGTCAGGGTTGCCCCCATCAAGCTAACAATTCCATGCTGTGTAAAGATTCCTATTGTATCTTGTTACAAAAGACAGCGAAATAGTTTGTAGCAAGATTGTGTACATATTTATATATTTGTTAACAATAAGTACTATAATAACATCAAATTAGTCAGACAAAGTTTATTTTATTATCCTAAAATCCATTAGTCAATGCATAATACAGTAAAAATAATTTATCAAATGAGCATATGTCTATTATTATTTATCTGGGTTATATGGGGCTTATACTGTCCTGTCTTGAGTACTGCTCAATACAGGTACTATGTTTCCCCATCAAAGCAGGAGAGATTGCTGAAATGGAGGGAATACAGAGAACATAGACACGATAAAGCACCTAAATTATCGGGATCGTCTCGAAGCTCTCCAAATGTACTCCCTAGAAAGGAAATGAGAGATATCAAATAATATACATCTGGAAAATACTATGAGGCCAGGTCCCAAATCTACATAGTAAAACAACATAATGGAGTGAGTGATATGGAAGAAAATGTAGAATAGAACCAGTGAAAAGCAGGGGTGCCATAAGCACAATCAGAGAACACTATAAACATCAGAGGTCCACGGTTGTTCAACATCCCAGCGAGTATAAGAAATATTGACAGAACAACCGTGGACATCTTCAAGAGAAAACTAGATAATTTTCTCCAAGGAGTGCTGGACCAACCGGGCTGTAGTGGATATGTGACCACTCCAAGCAACAGCCTGGTGGATCAATCTCTCAAGTCAAGCCTGGCCTTGGGCCGGGCTTAGGGAGAAGAACTACTCTCAGAACCTCATCAAGCAGGGGCCCACCCCTCACTGAGAAAGTCCAAAAATTAACATTTGCAATTCTTTTTGTACCACAACCAACATAATTCATATTTTGCCACACTATACATGGTTGGGTAGGATTTTAACACACTAGTAAAGTAATGCAAGAATTTAGTGACAATAGAAATTTCAGGTTACCTTGTTGGAATTCATCTGCTTGATTGATCTTGAGAATGTTTATTTACATAACCAATCCTAACCTAAAATTACTGTACATGAGCTTGGCAAAGTCACGTTTTGACTGCCAGCTGTTGAAACATCACTGGTTGAAGGTCCTTGGCACACACACTTCTTACCAAATATGAATAAAGTTTGGCTTGCCTCCAATGTTCATTGGATCCTTATGATCAGCTCTTTGGTTCACCTCGAGTACTGATACTTATTTCCAACTTCTGAATTAGCACAGTTGAATGAAAAACTAATCAGTATGTCAACAGAAGGTATGAGAACTGTCTATGGTGTTGATCCCTCCTTTCAATCTTCCTCCTCCTCATTCACCTTGCAAGCTCAGAAACCAGACCACGGGGACCTTGACCTCCGGAAATCAATGCAAGATAACCAGTAATGGAGTAATCCTCTTCGCTCATCACACCATATCCTGGGTCATCAGCTTATCTTTCTAGCAATTTAACCTCATCCTATCTTTCTAAATTTTCTATTGATCATTTCAGAACATTGCATGGATTTTATCTGTAAATCCTTCAAAACTTTTATCTTCCTTGTCATTCACTGTAGATGAGAGGATTTTCTTCCATATATGTTATCTTGCCACCATGTAAGTTAAATTGTGTTAATGCACCTGCCCACCTCTGCATTATCACACAAGAGCGAAGCCCAAGCTTTGTGTGGCCTCACTTTGTGTTTCTTGATTTGATGGTCATGAACTTCCTTGCAAAACACATCATGAAACCAAGAAAGCTGTCCTGTGGAAACCATGCATTCTTTGAGCTATAATTTTTCACAGGCAGATGGTTCAAGCAATGTTTTAAGGCTATTGGTTTCTTGGATTTGTCAATGATTGCACACGTGGGTGTGTGCGCACCATCGGCACTGGCACACACCATGGCTGACAAACTATCCTTGTTCACCTGATATCCAATAGTCATACTCACTGTGCAGTGTAAACCACTTACAACCTCATCAAACTATGCATTCTGTGCAGCCTTCATAGTTTATCTATTACGCCCTCTACTAGTGCATGTTCTCTCACTAGTAGCTACATTTTTAATGTGGTCATCTTTGATTCCTTATATCAGAGATGGTACTAGTGCCTATACCAAAATCCTTGGCAATGCTCAGTCAACCACCCATTTTCACAGATTTCAATGAAATGTAACTTCTCTCTGTCAGTCCAACCTTCTTTGTCTTAACACCTCCAGGACGATTACTGCTGCTACCGGGCAGTCTTGGCAAAAGAATTATCAAAGTTACTATGAATACAAACTAGTTATTTAACCCTTGGGCAGCAGCTATGGAAACATGGTCATACCTGCCTAAAATTCAAACAAATAATCTTTCATTATAGATTTATTAACTTGTATTCAAAATGTAAGAAAAACAAAAGTAAATGAATATTTATCATTTTATTGGTGAAGGCGCTCAGGAAGGTCATGTGGTGGCTGTGTTTGGCCCCTGTCAATGCCTTATGCTTGACTTTGCTGACACTTCCCATGATATCCATGGGAAGTTTTGCCACTAGTTTCTCTTTATTTACAAGAGTACGTGTGTTGAATATCTTAATAAATCACATAACACACAATGTTTCGATTGATGAAAGTAGTCAACCTGTCTTCTTCCCCACCAACATAGACTTGTTCAGCTGAAGGCATAATATTAAGTTCCTCTAGTAAATACAGAGTTAAATATTTATTTGAAATACTACTCATCTCTTCCTCATCATCAGTTATCTGACCTGTCTCAGTTTTTAATGAACCTATCCTTTCCCTAAAATAAATATACATCACTGAAAAATATCATTGAACTCGTTTGTTTAAAAATATTCAAAACATCTAATTAATTTCCACCTAGCCTTTGTGACTCATTTATCACACAGGACTTAGGACCCAAACCTGGCTCACTACAAAATGAGGAGAGCAGGGAATTAGATCAACCACATGTGTATGGAAACCTTACTAGAAAGCACAGGCAAAAGTAAACAAGCATCTGCTTGAAGACAATTATGCACCATTAGGTAAACAAGTCATAGGATCATTACCACAGAGTAAATATCTTTACCGAGATGCTCCCGACTTCAGCCAGCTGGAATCCCAGGTTACCCGAGGTCTCCGCTTTTCTGCCACCTCTGGAAATATCCATGCATAATCCCATAACCCGCAGACTGTGTACCTGGCTTTGCTCAGACACCTGATTGGCTGGCTGGCTGAGTGACCTGGACAGCAACATATAGGCAGTAAGGGACATCACAATTGGTGCATTTATATCAGGGTAAAAATCATTTACCATGTCTCTGTCAGGATAATTATCTCAAGCAGTTGCTTTGTTGTGCTTACACTTGATGAGTTTCTTGGTTTCAGGTAGATTTCTAATTCCAAAGTTCCTCTTCCCTTGTAGAGCAAGCCAGATTGTGATCCTAGCTGACAGTAAGCAAGGGTGGGTCTTGGAAGCCTGGTGCTTCTTCCCATACCATTGATAGTAAAGTGCTTAGCCTCAGGAAGGTACTGAGAGCCCACAAGTCAAAACTATTTTATTACATTCAGTGTTTGATGTATAACAGTGTTCTATCAGATACCTTTAATGTTTGAATATGTTTCAGGATTACAGTATCTTTGAAGAGTTCCTGACATTTTTGTTATTTCAATCTATGCAACTTTGCAGTCTCTATAGATTTTATTTAGTGTCTGGAGATCAATGACCATCTAAAGACAGGTAATTTTATCCTACAGTAGAGGACATCACTTACCTGTGTAACTTAATCTTTGTTTTTTCGTCCCATTGTCAACTGAGGGAATGAAGTTTTGCTAGGTTGTGGATTAAGACGAGAGGCTAGGTTCATGATGGGTCCCAGCAGAAGAGTACGATCTTGAACATTCACCTCCCAGAGACGTAGTTTTTCGGTTGCTGCCCATCGTTCTGCAACAGTTGTATCAACTGCACGGTGGCTAGCAGCTACATCACTCTTGTTGCCCAAAACAATTATTGGTACCTGTGGAGGAACTTGAATACTGTATAATGCTGCAACTTAATTTGCACAATAAAGTAGAATATGTAAGAAGTAGACATGTTTTGAACATAGTCAATTGAAGGAGGAAGCCCTGGTCCTATGTCAAACATATCTAGTACAAACAATATTATGAATATTCTCAAAAAAAAATTTTTTTACCCATATTAACTTATGTGTGAAATAAATAAATTTAATTATAATATATATATATATATATATATATATATATATATATATATAAATATTTATATATAAATAAATAAAAAAGACAACAAATTTAAAGAACAAAATGTACTGTACATAAAACCATAAGGAATCTTCTTGCCAGAGATGCTGATTTATACAAAATATCTAACTTACTCTGATTTAATAATTACAATTCTTAAATTAGACCTAAATAAAATTCCAAATACCACTACAGAATAAATTTGTGGTGTAATATAATGATCAATAACGCAGCGATTATTTGCACTTACGTCCTTCTTTTCTCTGTGCCTGTCAATGTCCTTTTTTATATCGGTCAGCAGTTGAAAGGAGAGGTTGTCACTGATTGAGTACACTATTATGTAACCATCAGCTAGCGAATGATAGTGTTGTGGAAGGCACCGGTTGCGGCTATCTAGGCCAGCTGTGTCATAAAAGCGCAATTTCTCCCGTGTTCCACGTTCAGTTTCTACAATTCCAACATATGTGTCCTCAACCGTTGGAATATATGGCTGTTGTAAAATAAACAGTAGATTACATGAATTCCTGCTTTCCTTAACAAATGCAATATCTAAAGATAAATACAATTTGATTTATACCAGTGATGGACAAATGATCAAAAGTTGAATGGCTAAAAAAAAAAAAAAAAGTGACTTCACACTACTGGACATTTACAATGCCTTTTGCTATTATTCAGTGAACAGGCAAGACTTGGTAAGTCTAAGGCAAGAGTACGGGAACCTTTTTTTTCTGCCAAGGGCCATTTGGATATTTATACATCATTCACAGACCATACAAAATGATCAATCTATATTTGGTCAAGCATTTAATTAATTCACCCTAATATGATGGCTGGAACTGCTGCTCTTTTCTCTTAATATAAATTTATGCTGCTATGAAAAAAGCTCCTAAATTTATTGAATTTTGAGTCCTGCCTGTGGTTGCCTTGGCAAGGACTTTTTCCAATGTAAATATAAGATGTATAGTAACAATGGTGTCTACATATTTACCCAGTTTTCATGGTGATGGAAGCTGGCAAATTTAATTCTAGTTACTTTTAATTAACCCTTAGGCAGCAGTTATGGAGAAATGGTCATACCCGCCCATGAAAAAAAAAAGCTTCGAATGTAATGAAATGCCATTTTCTGGGCGAGACCCGGAGGCTCCCGGAGTTATCAAGGCTGATATGTATATTATTAGACTTTGGCATCAGTCAGTGTGAATGGAGTTCTAGGCCTACCGGGGACCACGAGCCACAACCTGCACCCCCCTCCTCTCTCAGAGAGGCACGAGGAGCAATGGCCTATAGAAATGCACATGTGTTTGGAGCGGTCTATGTCTGCCATCGACTGGGCCGATACCCAGGAAGGTAAGCTCCTCAAAACAAACCCCTATTTTGGTTAAAACTACTACATTAAGTTAAAGAGTAGACAGAACTCCCCAATTGAAAAATGAGCAAAGGAGCATGACGTCACTTTTCGCACCGCTTGTCTGCGCAGCTCGTTTATCAAAAATTGATGATAACTGCTGTCTAAGGGTTTAAGACTATACAGTTTATTGCTTATATGTCACTATAATCCTAAATTATCCAACATAACAAAGGTTGACCATGGTTACTAGCAGGTTTTCAGACTGCTGTGATAAAATCTACTGTATACTGTATAATCCTGCTCATATATTCAGCGGCAATGAAAGGGTGATACACTATCTAAATCTTGGTGGCAAACATAATATATTATCTCACCTTATCCACAGTGGTATTTGCAAAGATGGCTCTCTCAAGAATGGACGTCTTTCCTGTCTCCTTGCCCCCGACAACCACCACACGACTTGTGCGCCCCATTACATTTCTCTGTAAACAAATACATGTTTATATTTTACTGTAGCATATACTACTACTTTTCACTTCACTGTCTTGTGATATAGTACTTGCATTTCTTTTTCTCACAAATACCAACACAATAACAAATGGATACAAGATGTAAAGATAAGCATGCAGATACAGTATACTGTATTAGAAACATTTCAAGCCTGATTCACAAAACTTCTAAGAGAGCATATTGTATGCATTATAGCAATGCCACATTATGCCCAATTTTCATTACATTCTACTATGCACATGCTGTAAGATGAAAATGCAGATTAGTTATTTAAAATGTCAGATTTTCTAACACTGGCATATATGCATACACTGGAGGAAACATTCCTTAGAGAAAAATCAAGAGAAATGCCTTTTATATAGTAAGCCAAACACAAAATAAACAGGATATTTAGGTACATGGCAACAATATAGCCTCTCGTATTCTGTACAGCAACTACACAATTGTATACTATTCATACAATTTATTATCTTACAATATTTACCATTATTACTCCTGCAAAAGTTTACACTGACCTGAGAGTGAGCAAGACCTAAATAACATCAAACTCAAACAATGCACAATGCATAACTGTACCCTATAGCTCTACCCACATTAACAATACAAACTCAAACCTTTTTATTACAGTAACACATTAGCTATACATTCAAGATGGTTCTTCACTCCACAAAATCTGATCCAAAAATCTGTAAACTTGTATCTACAGTAACATGCCCCAAAGAATCTTCTAATTAGACATATGCCATACAATAGGCAATATCTTTAAAAATTGGGTTTCAGGTATCATAAATTCACTACTCCTCTACATACAATCTACAATGCATATTCCTTGTCAACTACTGACTTGTGGCAATTCCCTTGACTTGAAAGTTGCAGGGCATAGCTGCTAGGCAGTATACAAAGCCTATACAGTATATCATGAAAGGAATTAAAGAATACAACATCTCTTCCGAGTACTGTAACTATAAAAGTCAACTGGTGAAATATAATTACTGTAGTACTCTATATTCATTCCTACATTTCACAGGTCAACAATGGCATTACAATTGTGACATCACATCTCATTCTTTGCATATATCAGCACAGCCTTCTTTTTTAATACAAACTTCCTAATGTAGTACTGTATGTGGCACTTGCAAGGCAGCAGCAGATATGTGAAAAAAGAACATATGGGAAAAATAAAGATGCCTGCCAAAAAAAATAAAAAAATAATATAGACAGAAGCGATGACAAGGGAAGGCACTAACTGACTCGGTTTGGTCAATCAGAGAGCATATCAGCATACCTGACCAACCACAGCACACAACAGGCCACCATCAAGTATTCCCCGCCAGTTCCCTAGTACCCCACAGTCCACGCAGTGTTCACGACTTCGCCAGGGGTCTTTCATGAGCTTTTCCTCACGGGGTTTCCTAAACATCCCTCAGGAACCTGCTCTCTCGGCTACACTGGAGAGGAAGAATCTTGTTCTTTCTATTGTAAAAAAGATCTTGAACAAGTTAAGGGATAGTTAATATTCTGAAAGAGCTTCTGAAATCAGAAGCAATTTCACTGTTAAACTTAGTCTTTTCGACTTTGGGATATGTTTTATTTTGGAAGCTGGTTATCAATCAGGATTAAATAAATAACCTAAAGCTGGTTCCTGTAATGTTAATCACACTTGATTATACACTAGATGGTAAGGTGGCAAAGTACAGTACTTTAGAAATAAATTGAATGACAAGTATATCACCAATTTTTGTAGGTTGTTTCCATTTCCATAATGCCTTGTCTAGAAGTGTTATATTGTACCATATTCAGATTTGCAAAAATTCCATGCATTTCACAACTAGAGAAATAACAAGTTTCTCAGGCCACTAGTTTTTTTCTTCTTCAAATCTTCAGCAAAACCAGTCAATAAACTAATAAACTAACAATTTATTACTGTAATTTTGAACAAATTGTTCCGTTCTGGTTGACTCCTCAAGAGTTCTCAGTATCATTACAGTAAAGCATATACAAAGCAGTGTAGAAACAGGATGCGACACTTGTGTCTTGGTTGTTAGAATACAATACCTATCAAGGATTGTATATATACATAAACCCAACTGTTCAAATTTGCAAGGAAAAGCTGAATTTGTAATTCCATGTTTATACAGTATTTACATTTAAAACCCTTCTAACAGATGAACTCCTGAAGTTGTAATTTCTGATTTTCCTTGCAAACAAAAACAATTAACATTCTCATAAATAAGAATGTTTAAGCAATACATTGTTGCTGTAAGACACCTTTCATCCTAATATACCTAAGACAAACATCTGAAGGAATTACATATTTCGTCACGAGTTTTATATCAACTTGTGAATACACTACAGTATTTTGGAAAGTTAAGTTACATAAGAGTTATGCCATAGAAGAATGCAAATTACTGTAGTACTTTAATATAAAGTTAACTAGCAAATCTACATGGTATACCCTACTGTAAATTTCTCGACACACAGCACTGATTCCCACCAAAATTATTTTTGTTAAGGATCATTTTGTAAAAATTGCATGTGTTCCAGAACCAAAATAAAAAAAAAGTGGCACTCATAAAGATCTGAAAAATATATTTATCATTCCAGACCTTATCCACATTTGCAAATACTGTAATCTGCATGCATTCACAAATAATTCAATTTCCATATATTTTTGGTTATCACCAGTGTTGGGACTTTTCTTATAACAAATGGTAAGAGTACATCTTTCTGCATATTGAAAACAAATACACTGCATATTATATATATATATATATATATATATATATATATATATATATATATATATATATGTCGTACCTAGTAGCCAGAACTCACTTCTCAGCCTACTATTCAAGGCCCGATTTGCCTAATAAGCCAAGTTTTCCTGAATTAATATATTTACTATAATTTTTTTCTTATGAAATGATAAAGCTACCCTTTTCACTATGTATGAGGTCAATTTTTTTTATTGGAATTAAAATTAACGTAGATATATGACCGAACCTAACCAACCCTACCTAACCTAACCTAACCTATATATATAGGAAAGGTTAGGTTAGGTAGCCAAAAAAAGCTAGGTTAGGTTAGGTTAGGTAGGTTAGGTAGACGAAAAAACATTAATTCATGAAAACTTGGCTTATTAGGCAAATCGGGCCTTGCATAGTAGGCTGAAAAGTGAGTTCTGGCTACTAGGTACGACATATATATATATATATATATATGTCGTACCTAGTAGCCAGAACGCACTTCTCAGCCTACTATGCAAGGCCCGATTTGCCTAATAAGCCAAGTTTTCCTGAATTAATATATTTTCTCTAATTTTTTTCTCATGAAATGATAAAGCTACCCATTGCATTATGTATGAGGTCAATTTTTTTTTATTGGAGTTAAAATTAACGTAGATATATGACCAAACCTACCCAACCCTACCTAACCTAACCTAACCTATCTCTATAGGTTAGGTTCGGTTAGGTAGCCAAAAAAGTTAGGTTGGGTTAGGTTAGGTAGGTTAGGTAGTCGAAAAAACATTAATTCATGAAAACTTGGCTTATTAGGCTAATCGGGCCTTGCATAGTAGGCTGAGAAGTGCGTTCTGGCTACTAGGTACGACATATATATATATATATATATATATATATATATATATATATATATATATTATATTTGCATATTTGCAAATGTGGATATATATATATATATATATATATATATATATATATATATATATATATATATATATATATATATATATATATATATATATATATATATATATATATATATATATATATCCACATTTGCAAATATGCAAATATAATATATATATATATATATATATATATATATATATATATATATATATATATATATATATATATATATTTATATATATATGATTTTCTTACATTAGCAAAAAATGTGGTATAAACTATAAGTTTTACTTACCTTGTGAAGATCATCAATCTTATGGATACTTTAGTACAATATTTCTAAACTGCTTGAGCAAACTCATAAAAATTTAAGCATCTAAAATTGTCTTAAAATTCTTTAGCACCAGAAATGTCTTCCCTAAAATGATGTCAAAATGGGGGATCAAAGTACTTACAACTCGTTTGCCAACATCCTCACTCCCTAGTCATGGAACGAGATGCTAAACTGAGAAGTGGGAGTGAGCATTATCACCCATATTGTTGAACTTGTATACCCAACATTTTGAAACTTGTATTCTCACACAGAAAGTAATGGCTGGGTCCATTATATAAATTTTATCTTCTTTCAATTTGTATATTTTTTTTTAACCAAATGGTCCTGGATTGAAGTCTTAAATCACAGCCTGGGAATATCCAGTCATCGGGTAGAGGTACCTTGATAGCCTTAATGAATATAAATTCATATTCATATTATAAAACTCTGATACATATTAACAGGCTTCCTGTCAATGACGATAGCATACCGGAAAAACATGCCTTTACCTAGCCATACCTACGGCTTTGAGAATTAGAGAACGAGCCTAATCGAAGCGTCTTATTGTATAATTTGATCACACTCCGAACATACCCTAACAGGTCAGCATTAGATTACCTTGCTACATGTCAACTGGAATAAAAATAATATAGACAATCAAATTGTACAAAGGCATTGTGCACGCAACGTGTTTGAACCGATCATAACATTGTACTTCACGGTAAGCATACCTTACCGTGAAATAAACTATTCCGTTAAGCCAAGCTGGATTAGGTGAGGTTCAGCAGGTGTGAAACCAGCTAAAATAATCTTAGGAGAAACAGTTCGTGTTTGAAATGAACTAAATCCTTCAGACTAGCTCCAAAGAGCAATAACAACTTAATATATATAACATTCTATCCTTCAACTAACAAAACAACCTCAGAAAAGACCACAAAACCCCAATATACAGTCCAAGATGTTAACGGAGCGACTTGTCCCGATGCTAATCTACACACAACTCTTACTAATCAACACTACTCTCCTCTACTCACACAACCAATCGCCAAGATAAACTCACTGCCCACCCCGTGGTTGAGTTAAAGCATACCTTACCGTATACTGTAGCTGTGAGAGGGAGTAAATGTGAGTATTATGTGAGCGAGTCTCCCATCTCCTCCCAGGCCGTCTGCTCCCTCACTCTGCTCCTCCCACCATGGAAAACGGACCTCAATCACTAACTACCATAAATATCATTTTTGTCACCTTTGGACTTATATTGAATTTTGTAACTAGCTCATCAAGATTGTAACTTGCTTAGCTAAATGAATTGTGGGGTTCAGTCCCTGAGCCCATTATGTGCCTCTGTAACCCTTTCCACTACACCCCACAAGATGGGTATGGGGTGCATAATAAATGAACTAAACTAACTGTCACCCTTTAAGGATATTCAGCTTGGCAAGACTTCAAAAGTTACTAAAGAAATATGCAAGTGTCCATTGCTCTTTTGTGCCTGTTTATTGCAGTACTGTACTTGATATCTGAAAATTATTATTATAAATGCTTTTAGTATGCATAAATATAAATATGCATATACTAGTACTGTACATAAATTTTAATATAAATAGTATTAATATAAATAGTATTATTATAAATGTTGTTACTCTAATATTATACTGTTATTATTCTTTTCTTTTTTCTTTTTGCAAAATAGCTCCTCTCTGGTTGATGAGCTTCTTTATTTATTTATTTATTTATTTATTTATATACAAGAAGGTACATTGGGTTTGTGAGAATACATTGGATAGTACAGTATTTACATTCTTGTAAAGCCACTAGTACGCACAGCGTTTCGGCCAGAGTTAAAGTTTTAGTTTTTAAATGGTTTCTTTGACCGTGACGCAGGAATGGCTGACACCTGATGGCTTGCGGTGCCAGTCACGGGATCCTAAAACATGGCAGGGTGCCCGTTGCACCAAGGGTGTCACTGACAAGGGAAAATATTACTATGAAGCCGTTGTGTGGGATAAAGGGTTGTGTCGTGTCGGGTGGGGCAACTCCTCAGGTAGGCAGTATTGCTGGCACCTTTGGTATTTGTGCTTGGGGCTCTACTACCCAAAATCACTTACGTCCTCTAATTACTCAACACAAAGCTGCTATTAGGACAATATCCAATTCTGGCCCCAGACATCACTCGGTACCCCTACTCAAATCTCTGAATATGTTAGACATTAAGTCACTGCACATTCTCTCATGTGTATTATACATATATAAAACGCTAAACTATAATGCCAATCCTGATCTTAAAAGCTTCATAGAAGGTTGTAACAGAACCCATGAGCACCACCAGAAATAAATACAGTTTTGATATTCCTAGAGTACGACTAAATCAAACTAGAAATGCTCTACAAATCAAGGGACCCAGAATGTGGAATGACCTTCCCAACCATGTTAAAGACTGTACCTCTCTCAACCAGTTTAAGTTAAAAGCGAAGCTATACCTAATAAATTCCCTGTAACTACCTTACCCTTCTATTGTCAACCAATGTCTGTTTTTCTTTAAAGAGCGCTGTTTGTCGACATAATTGTATTTGTGCTGCTTTTTCATCTATATTTTCATTTCTTATTTTCATTCTACTCATTATGCTCAATTAGTATTAAGCTTGTCATTTAAGTTTATCATGCCCGAAACGCTTTGCGTAATAGTGGCTTTAGGCATTGTATGTACTAGCTCTACCTATAAGTCAACCAATCCTTGTAAAAATTTATTGTATGTATGTACCTTACCTAAATAAAATTGTATTGTATTGTATTGTATTGTATTGTATTGTATTTGTTACTCCAATTTCTTTTAGCTGCTGCTGAACATTTTATAGTTCAGTAGAAATGGTAATACTGTACTATAATGTATTCCCAGTGTGAATACCTAGTTATGACTTTTACTGGATTATATTATATATTTTTAAATGGTTTCTGTTCCATATCCAACCCATCCTGTTTAGTTTTTGTGACTGTGCACCATAGTACAAAAATTTGCTGTAAGGCATTAACATAATAAGCAATTAGATAGTAGAACTTTGTACTATTCACTTTATAGATAAAAAATTTAGCTAAAAAACAAACTTAAATATTCCTAGGCCTAGTATAGCGAGCATATATACTATATTATGCCTTGAAAAGCGGATTTGTCCTAGGAAGGTTAGGTTAGGATAGTTTGTCTTTGCAGCACAAGTAGAAAATGGTGTTCGGTTTGTGAAAATTCAATAGTATTTATCATAAATACTATTAGAAAATAGAAAACATATCAATTTCTACTTTCTAATTGTGTTGTACATCGGTATATAAGAATGAAGGTAACTGCAGAAAGCCTATTGGCCCATATGTACATGTATAATCATCCTCATCCTTCCTATAAGTACTATTAAAACAGGTGAATGGGCTGAATATCTTATTAATGCCATTACCTATCAACTTGATATTACACAAGTTACTATGGTGTAAAGAGTTTAAATTTAAATGGAGCAGTGTAGTTCTCTAGCGACTTCTTGGATCAAATCTTGTGCATATTTTCCCAAAAACATAACCTAAGGGCCAGTTTTCTGCATTAATCTTTCAAAATGGTATTCATAGAATTGCTTCAGAACTGGTACTATGGTAGGTATGATTTTGTAGTGAAGTTTTCACAAGTAGTCATATCATAATCAACCTTATTTACTTATATACAACTCCTTTTGTTCTAGAGATTGCATTTTTTCATGTGTATTTTCATCTTCATGTAATAATAATAATAATAACAATAATAATACAGTAAGCCCTTGCTTTACATAAGCAAATTTCATGAAAACAAGTTTAAGATTGTAAACTGTTATAATAGCTGCAAGCCTCTCCATACAAAACTTCCAGGCAGCATTTGCCCTAAACTCTCCATATTAACCAACAAATTCAATCCTTGAAATCAACACAACTGCCAGGAAAGTCGGCACCATATTTGAATGCATCGACTAGCACATCCATTGATGATGATGTACAAATATTTGATGAAGTCAGATGAATCGAGGCATAGTTGAGGGAAATGCAGCTGCACTCTGCATATCAGAAAATGACTTGTAATTACGAAGCAATAAGATGCTTATCTTAACATACTAAGAAGGTTAGGTAAGGTTGGTGTTTTCTATGAAGCTTTTCAAGGTAAACTAAAATATTCACAATAAATTAGTATGTCACATATGCACGTATTTAATAAGTCAATATTGACTTAAGGAAGTGCGAGAACGGGTTGGAAAATGACTTGATTTTGGTCTATTGATTATCATTTATTAAACATGGTTACACGCCAAAGAGAACACTGGTAAAGTTAAACCCAACTGTTTGACACCTCCATCCTGGAAACAGCCATTGTTTCCAAAATGGTAATGAAAGTGAGTAAATATTTTATTTATATTTTTTTGAAGGGGGGGTGGAAGGAACAGGCATTGAAGTCCATTTGGAAAAGATAATTATGCAAGAATTTAATGCAGAAAGTTGGTAAAACAAATTAAAACGTTAATTTGTGCTGAGTAAACCATTACTTGCGTATTTGTAATAAAGTACCTACCTCATGTTAGGCGAATTTAATGCTTTCAAAACTTCAAGAAGCAAAGGCTTGCTGTAGTTTGTACTGTATTTTCACCTGCATTGGGAGATGTTATATTTTATCAATTGCCTTTATGCAATAATATTTTTTATATTCACAACCAAAACAACTTATATTTTCAGGCAGCATTAGATCTTGGAACATGTAAATCGGGATTTGGATTTGGAGGCACTGGAAAAAAGTCTAATTGCAAGCAGTTTGACGATTATGGTGAATCTTTTGGCCTCAGGGATGTCATTGGTTGCTATCTCAACCTGGATGCCATGGAGATGCATTACAGCAAAAATGGCACTGATTTAGGTAAAGCTTTCACATTACGAAGTGAATTCAAGAATGCTGTCTTCCATCCAGCTGTAGTTTTGAAGGTTGGTAGTATAGTACATGCATTATTCATGTTAGTTGTGTATTTTAAGCAGTGGTGGATAATTGGATGATGATATTAATTAATTATAGATATGGTTTAAGGCAGACTGAAATTTGCCCAGTTTTTTCTTTTTGTTGGTTTGTTATGCATTTATCACAATATTTGGACTTGGTGTATTTCAGAAGTGTATAGTGGTCATGTATATATACAGTGACACCTCCAAAATTTGGATCATATTTATGATCTAGGTCATTAAGAAAATTAATACAAATAAGAAAATTTCTTATTAAATTTTCTATCAGTTTTTAACTGTTGGTTCTTTACTCAAATCTCTCTAATTTCAATAAAGTGCAAGAATAACTTCAGTGAATTTAATGATATTTGAAAGTTACAGATGATAGCAATTTATGTGATTTCCAGAATGCAGAGATGTCTTTCAATTTTGGTGCAACAGAGTTCAAGCACCCACCTAAAGCAGGATACGTAGCAGTGTCTCAGGCCAGCAAGGACTGTACTGTGAGCTCAGGTGTGAAGGGAGGTGGAGACAAGCCACAAAAGCTTCAGAACAATGCTCCACACGCTGTCATTATTGAGGTAAGAATGGTAACACGTGACTGGTCTGTATTTACTTGTCCAGTATCTGGTTTATATTGATTGCTGGATGGATGTCTAACAATATAACCTATACAGTTCGGTACAGATTCATTTTTACATCACTGTTGCTTTTAAACTAACCTGTTCATTAAATCCTGGATACATACAATATGAAGATTCAAACTAAAAGTAGTATGTTGTGCTATGTGAATTGTTAAACAGTTTAGATAGAAGTGGCAAGTTCCAAAAGCAGACCATTTTTTTTTTAATGCAAACAAAAGTTTTTATCATTTAACAGCCTTCAAGAGAACTCGCAGAACAGACCCTAAAACAGGTTCAAATGTTTCGTAAGCATCTAGATAATCCAGTGGTTCGTGACCTTCTTGTTGTTGGTGGTATACCCGTGAAGGAGCAAATAGCAGCACTCAATGCAGGTGTGGATATTGTTTGCGGTACTCCAGGACGCTTGGAAGATCTTATTAATACAGGACAACTCTCTCTCCAGTCTTGCAAATTCTTTGTGTTGGATGAGGCTGATGGACTTCTTAAACAGGTAAGTTTGATTTTATCCAAGGAAAAGTACTTTTTATATTTTGGTAGTAAATATGTAGGAATACCTGATATAAATTCAAGTACTGTATCATCAGCTTGCCTTATGAATTAGAAAAAAAACTAAAAACTCTTGACTACCCGATTTCTTGTATTAAGTCAACTACTCGTGGAACATTTACACATTTCCTTAATGTGCGTCTTTG